AAAAATATATATAACAAAATATTTTGGAAAAAAGTAAATATTTGAGATACAAAGACGTAAACGTTCATTTTGTAAAATTTTCTTTCCTAAAAACTTTAACAATGCATTTATTAAACGCTATAATTTATATTCATTTAATTCAAAATTTCTTATCTTTAATGTACCTTGGTTCATGCGTTTTTTTTTGAAAAATGGTTTTATTTTCAAATTATATTTATGTATTAAGTATTTACTACTACTAGTTTTATGAAAAAATTTTAATATTCCATTTATGTTAGAATATATCACTTGTTTGAATTTCAAAATTTGTTAATATCCGAACTCCATAATAGTGTAAAAAAATAGTGTAACAAATACATTGCAACAAAGACAGTGTAACAATACACTGTAACAAAAATAGTGTTCAGTAGTTTTGTGTATGTGATAACAAATTCAAAACGAAGATGAATTATTTTGAAAGAAATTATATGAAAATATATGTTTGACAAAATATAATAGTACAATATTTTGTGTAAATGACTTGTTACACTGTTCGGATATTAATATAATTTGAAAATAAAATCACTTTAAAAAAAAACTTATGAATCAAGGTAAATTAAATATAATTTGAAAACAAAACCACTTTCAAAAAAAAAAATAATACGCAATGAATCAAAGGAGGACATACAAATATGAAATATTAAAGTTCTCTCGTAAAACTATAATATGTTTAATGCACTACTTTCTAAAGAAAATACACATGGATTAATGGAGGACACAAATATTACAAAAAAATCAATAAAATTCAAATAATGTATTTAGATACAAATAAATATTAAAATTAAGGACTTAATTATCCAACATTTTTTTTGTATATTTTTTTACAATTAAGTCTAATTTGGTATATCCCTTCCAATTTTCCCAAAAAACAATCGAGCACCGTGCCAAAAACTCTAGCAAAAAGAAAATTGCCCAACATATGTCTGGAAAAGGGAACACAAAAATTATAACCTTCCCTCGCCCCCACCAACCACCCTTCCCTCAAGACCCCTTTTGAAAAGAAAGCGGTAATGTGCGAGACAATGACCGATCTTCGTAAGTTCCATCCAACGTGGTGATTGGCGAAACCATAGTGGTAAGTGACTTTAGCCTTTGTTAACAGCCTTGGAGGCAATTCTAAGGACCTGACAGTCTTGGATGGTGGAGATGCATGGAGATAAAAGAGAGAGAGACGCACAGGAAGAGAAAGAGGGAAAAGAGAGATCCATACGAAATAGGGAAGAAAGACATAATATTAAATGCAATGGCGATACCATGTATCACCAATAAATAATAAAATACTAAAGTGGTCGAGGCGAATCCCAATTTAATAGTTATTTACTTACATAGAGAATGGAGGAGTGATTATTTGTTTACATGGAGGATTGATTATTAATTTTAGTGGGATCTATTTGTTTATTTGTTTTAACTTTATTGGTTAGTAATATCACATCAGTATTATCACGAGGAATCACCGATAGAAACAAAAAAGAGGTAACTAGTGATTGTGATCTCATTTGAGGGTACTTTTGTTATTAAATAATTTGTATAAAATCAATTTGAACTTAATGACTGATTTGTTTTGAGGGGACTGATTTATTCTGAGTGCCTAGACTTCCAGAACAATATATATATATATATATATATATATTTGAATTGACTCTTTGATAAAAATCTTCTAAAAAATAGTACAAAGTGGGGTGTGTTACTACACTTTTCTTTCTCAGCCAGTATTATACATTATGTGAATGAACAAAATTTACTCATAGAACTCTCACAATTTATTACTTGATGTTAGAAATTAACCTATGAAAATTTCTTAAAAAAAAAGAAAAGGAAAGCCTGAGGATGGAATGCAAGCCAACAAAAAGTTAATTTTGAAAATTGAACATGCAACAAATACGCCATTCTTTCCCTAACTGTGAAGAATGACAAAACAAAAGCTAACAAATATTGATTTCAAATTTCTAGCTACAGAGGGCTAGATCTAAGGAGAAAGTCAAAGCGAAGAAAATATGTAAAATCAATCGACGAGAAAGTACAAAATACGTAGAAAAAACATTCTTCAAAAACTTGTTAGAAGCTGATTAGAGATTTTCTCATGCAACTTGTGTCACTTGAAGGGCTAGAGCTTCGAACGAGATTATGAATTTTTGAATGAATCTATCGTACTTGTTTGGAAGCAGGGCGCACAAAGGAGAAAAAAAAAAATTCTTTTAAATGATGTCTTCAAGTGCACATGATAATCATGTGTTTTTAATTTTTTTTCCCAAAATTGTACTATTACTATTTTCTGAAATTTTGATTTTTTTGTTTCCAATTTTTGAAAAACTGGACACAAAATTCTATTATTCAAACAACTTTTCTAGACGCAAACTAAACCGACTCTTCCGAATGATAATCATGTGTTTTCAAAAATTATGACAGAATTAGGCTTTTCAATAATTTTGCTTAAATCAGTCTTCGTTCCCTTTCATCCAACCCAAAGTTTATCCTAAAAAATTCCCAATTTTTTTTTGTGCCGCCCAAACCCGTCACCACACAGTAGGCGGTAGGTACACTTCTATCTTCTCTCTCCCTCTCTTTCCCCCTTTTCTCCCCTAATCTTCAGCCCCTCCCATTTCTCTCCTTCCTCTTTTCTCTTTCTCGTCAATTGCCCTCCTCCTTCTCTCTCTGGTGTCCAACTCCGGCGACTGTCTCGACTATAAGGTTGGTATCTCTCTATGTATTTCTTTATTTTCACTGCAACAGAACCACCTGCAGCATCTCTTTTCTGTAGCACAACACAAACACAAACACAACCACATTACATACACACGCACACACAACACACAGAGCACAAACTTAGCACACACGCAGCACCCATTTGCACATCACACGCAACACGAGCACATCATACACACACTGTTTATGCAAGGATTAAATGTAATATAATGTAACACACACGGTTGGGTTCATAACACTGTGTGTATGATGTGCTCGTGTTGCGTGTGATGTGCAAATGGGAGCTGCGTGTGTGCTAAGTTTGTGCTCTCATCATATGTTTCTGAAATTGAAATCATATGATGAGAGTTTCTGGAGTTTTTTTGTTAAGCTAAATTATAATGAGTTTTAATCATTGATCGATATCTCATTATTGAACTCTAAAATTTGGGGCCTTTTTAATATGTAGGGCTTAAAGCCCGTTCTTTTTTCAATATACTGTTGAACCGGCCGTGTCCTCCTCTCCCCCATCACCACCGTATACGAAGTATTTGTGGTATTGCTTCAATTTAATGCTTTCCATTCGGCTTTGTTGGTTTATCAATTTTCAGGTTGAATTGTTCATATGAGTTCTTCTTTTAATTGATTTTTGATTCCATTTACTTGATCCATTTGGTAACTGGGAAAATTGGGTGAAAAAATAGGATTTGTGTTCTTTACATGCTTCAGATGTTCTGTGGTCAATGTCTATTGGTTTAAGCTTGGTCTACTATTTAAGTGCATTTTTTAGCAAGGAACTTAAAATGCTTGATCTACTATTTTTTTGGCAAATTTAGTAGAATTATGTGGGCTAATTTATTGAGGAATCAGTGTGTAGGGATTGTGATTTTTCTGGGTAGTCTTGAGTTGGGTGATTTGATTTAGTTCATGTTTTGTTTTGTTTTGTTTGGCTTTGTTTTTAGTTGGAAGAAAGTACAATTCTAGATGCAAATCCATTGGTTGGGGGATGTTTGTTATAGATTTGTTTTTTATGATAGAATTGTATATTTATTTTCATGTGAATCTGTATGTATAGCTGTTTTACGTCTTGGGAAATGTTCTACGTTTCTAACATCACCCAAGATGCCAGATTATGGATTAAACTAATACTGGGAATTTATTTCCATTGCAGTAAACCTTGCAGGATTATGGCAGAACTTGTAAAGAGCTAAAAGAAACACAACGAGAAAGAAAATGTTTTCCTGTCTGAAAGTTTATTAGCCATAAAGCCACCACGACAAATTTTATTAGTCATAAAGTCATGGATTGCATATTTTGAGTAGCTATAGTAATCCTTATTGAAGAAATTTAAAGATTTTATATTATTTACATGATTTTGATATAGATATGAGGATAAGGATTTGTGGATTAATATATTTTTTGAAGAACATATTTTTTGTTTTGTTTGCTAGTGTTGATCCGAATCAATAGTTTGCAAATACATAGTGAACTCTAAAAAGTAGTGTAGTTGCTTAGAGTAGTAAGTGCAAGTTGTGGCAAAAAATATTAGTTGGGATTGCGAAGTAATTTGTGGATATTATATTATTTGGGATTATCTTTTTTGTTTGACTATTTGGGTTTGTTGTGGTAAGAGAGATACTTTGGATTATGGAATATGGTTTTGTCAACTTTTTTATTTATTGACTGGAATGCCTGGAATGGTTTTGAGTCGATGTTAATTATGTCAAATGGATTGAAAATAGTTAAACAAGTCGTGTTAAAGTGGTTCGTAATGGGTTTTGTTATGATTGAAGGGTTTTCAACACAAACCCAACACGGTCGATTGCTACCCTACTTCAGGCATTATGGGGAGTTTTTCAACTATATATTTGTGTTGTATAGTGCCTTTAGGCACCGGTCATCACTAGTCTATCTAATATTACAATTAGAAAGTTGAATTTTTAACTTATAAATGCACAACAATGATCAAGATTGATTCAACTTTCATCTACTTTGATCTAATGGTTCAAAATTCATCCTAATTTTTTTTTCCGCTCAAAAACATCACTTGCTCTACACAACTTTCAATGTCACGCATCTCAATCAATACACTTTCCTCAACCCTATTAATCAACACATATTTCTCTATTCTCTCTCCCCTATGTCTCTTATTTTTTCTATATTCACTTTAATTTTAAATTATGTAATTATATAAAAAAATAAAAATAAATTACTATTTATGTTGTATGATCAATGCTCGATTTTTAGTATTGTAGAGTGTCTTTAGATGGAGAGTTATTGCTAGTTGTAAAACAAATGACACCGATAATAGAGTCTGTCAGTAATTTGAAATAAATTATTGGATATTAGACTTAACAGGAAAGAGTAGAACTTCTTTGGATATCTTACCAATGAAAGAGTGAAAGGAGAGAAGAAATCGTAAATTATCTTTGAACCCCACTGTATGGCTCCTCTTTTTCTGTTCTGCGCTTCTGCCTCTGTTCCTAGGTTCAATGCACAACCAGTGCTTGAATGCAACTATCCAAGCTACAAACGAGGTTGGTTTCCATCTCTAACCTCTCATTTTTTGATTTTCTAACTTCTCTCACTGTGAAGTATGAAATGAAGTTACTTTATGGGGGTTCTACTGAAAACTTGTTAGGTTTGAGATTTTCGTACTTGTTTGCCTAGCCGATATACTGTTTAATAGTGGGTGTTGCATATTATACTGCGATAGTATGTAAATACAGGTATAGTGTTTTTATACATGGGCTACATGTTGTATTGATTATTGTGAGTTTTTGTACTAATATGTGTTCTTTTATACAATGCTGGGGTTTTAAGTTTGCTTACTTATAATGTTACAATTCTATTCTCTAGGTCAATGTTTTATGCAATATCTCCGCCTAAACCTTGTGTATCTTATCCGAGAAGCACTTGTTTTCGTCGAGCTCATTTAGCTCCAACATGGATTCGTGTATCGGCTAAGTTGGCCAGTCCCAATGGGGTTGAAGTGGAGTACACTCCATGGCTAATTGTTGGATTGGGAAACCCAGGAAACAAGTATCATGGAACTAGGCATAACGTAATGTAAAATTTTATGATTACTTGATTCGAAAGAATGGTTGTTTTTAATTTCTTTGTCTTTCATTGCTGTATATGTGTTTATGTTATCTTCAACGTTTGCAAATTTTGTTTGGTAGGTTGGTTTTGAAATGATTGATCGCATTTCTCAAGAAGAAGGTATCCTGATGAATACAATACAATCAAAGGCATTGATTGGAATAGGTGGTTATTAGTTATTTTTATGCCGTCATCTTTACTCAATTGTAACAATTCATTAATTTTTTGGTCACTCGTGGTGAACTTTAATTGTTATTTGATTGAAATCTGTACAGGTTCTATTGGGGAGGTACCGGTTTTGTTGGCAAAACCTCAGGCTTACATGAATTTCAGTGGAGAAGCAGTAAGCTCTCTTCAGTTACCAATGTCTAAGTAATTCTATTTGAATGGGAAAGTTTCCCCTTAGTCACCCAGATTTAGACCACACTGGAACATTGAGTAGCTTTCCACTTCATTTTCTTTCCGAATAGATTTCCTCACTTTATTTAACTGCAAAAATCCAACATGATGAGCATGGCCATCAGTTAAGAAAGATGCCAAAAAAATAAGGCCTTTCTGGGAAGCATACACAAATATGCAAAGCAAGAGATGAAGAGAATAAAATGGTGTTGTGGTGTTTTCTACATGTTGTTTTTAAATTTTTACGAGAATTGATATCAATTTAAGAAACTATGAATCTACTGCAGTATATTATTAGTGATAATTAGTTTCTATAGAAGTGCAATGTTGTGGATGGGTACCTTCAAATTCCAAATCAACACAATGGAGCCATTAGACTTTCATGGGATTGAAACATGTTCTGCACGTATTATTTGACTTGTAATGAATAGAATTCTGTATACGCGTGCTCTACATGTATTGTTTGATTTGTAATGACTTGACTTTTTTGTTTGTTATTTGGAAAAACCCAAGTCATCCATTTATGAAGCTTAAATCTATTAAATTGAGCATTGTTGGATGACTGATTACCTCTTGTGAGGAGGAATGATGTACGTAAACGGCAACAAACTCCTCCCCCCCAAACAAGGAAAAAAAAAGAAAAAAAAAAGAGAAGTAAAGGTTAGAGCAATTGCTTATTGGCTTATAGCATCTTGGGTCCTTTTGCTCAGGGCTTGATCCGATAGGATAATGTTATCATACTCTATGATAGGCATTTATATTCAGTTATTTCTATAGTTTAATGTCAATGCGCTGCTACTTTCTAAGTCGACTCATTCTGTAATTGTAGCAGCAAGTACTAAATATCATTTCTCATATTCCAGTGTTTTCTCCTATTTTATGATGAAGATATGTCCGTCCATCCCCTGGGCAAAAAAAAGTTAATGTGATTCTATTACTCATTATTAATTTCCTATCTCGAACTTTCATTCTCTTGCTGTTACTTGACAAGGTTGGACCACTTGCTGCATATTATCAAGTACCCTTGCGCCATATTTTATTGGTATGGCCTTTTCATATCATATTTGTTCCACAATTCTACTTATTTTTTAATTATATTTAGCATTTCATGTTTTTGAATTTCTCTGTATAGGTTTACGATGAGATGAGTTTACCAAATGGTGTTTTGAGGCTTCAGCCAAGAGGAGGGCATGGCCTTCACAATGGGTACTGTTCTTTGATAATGCTCATACTAAGACTTGCAAAAGTTAGCATCCATATGATTGATAGAGGATTAAGTTATATTAGTTTGGTTGCGCAGATCAGTATTCTGTGTAGATTGAAATTGTTCTATGAGCTTTTGTGCAAGGATCAAAATTTTGTTTCGAAACGGTCAAATAGTTTGAAACTTTTCCATTTTTGAAGACACCGAAACGAATCAGTGATGGAATCGAAATTCTAATACTTTGAGATGATTCATAATGTTTCGAGGTGTTTTGTAATGTTTCAATGTATTTACACAATTATTTCAGAATGTTTCAAGGTATTTCAAGCTACTTTGGTATATTTCGATCAATATTTTGGATAAATAATTATTAAATTATTTATTTTTTTCATTCTGTTTTCAAAACGTGTCGAAACGTTTCCATTTTCTAGGTAACTGAAACAATGCATCAAAACAAAATTTTGATCCTTGCTTCTATGTTTGCGCCTACGCAAGTCAACGTTTTTGTCTCGTTGTAGTGTAGCAAGTGTGATTTCCAGCTGTTCAACCTGGAATCTTGTAATTCGCTACCAATCTGCTAGATGAGGTGGCTGACCTAGCAATAATTTGCCTCCCAGGAGTGCACTATTATGAGGTGTGATTGGGTTTTGGGGCTAGTAACAAATTCTCGCTGAGAGGCCTAAACAGGATTGCATTCATTTTGCCTCATAAGTGGCTTGGGCTTGGGAAAAGCAGTATGAACTTGGAGTCTAGTTTGTTTCTTTGCAAGTGTAGTAACTTCATGTCTAGAATATTGGGATTGATCAGATTAACTTTCATTTGTATCAAATAACAATGTTGTGATGTACAAGACACTGATGAATTACAGAAAGAGGTTAATTTTTGTTTTAGGGCTATCTTTTTACTTCATATGACTGGAATTCTCCGTAGCATACTTCCTTATAACATTCCTCTAATTTTTCTATTGAGGTTTGATTTTGTTCTGAAAGAAGCATGATATCTTCTGCTGAACCTATATATATATGTGTGTGTATATATTAGAATGTTGCATCGAATCTCGATTAAGGAAACCAAGCCTGTCCTACTTTTTTGGTATAACTGCATGATTTGAGTTTTAAAAGCCAAGGCTGTATAAATTATCACATCTTTCCTTTGTTCAGCATCCAACAAAAAGTCATTGATTCGACTTGTTTTCTTGTTGTATCTTAGTTAGGTTGCTTCCTTATAATATCTCCGAGTCAAAACCCTAGGCTATATCTGTTATCACGTTTTCTTTCAGATCTTGGTTTTTCTTTCTTTTAATGTTTTTTTTGTCACATCTCACACTGTTTTTTGTTCTGCATTCAACTTGTAAATCCTGGATGGTGTTTAGTTTTGTTAATACGATGGGTCGTATTGTTTCTGAAATGTTAAGTCATCTCATATCCATGTGACCTCTACTGTTGCTTTTTGGGAACACTGGACATGACTAAACCCAAAGTGGCTAGCTTTCTTCTCTTAGTTCTTGGATTATTCTGTCTACTTTTTTGTGCTTGCACACTGATACTATTGTATTCGAAAGATCATATTAATTGTTGATCTCTTCTTGCAGAGTGAAGAGTGTGATGGAACATTTGGATGGTCTTCGTGAATTTCCGCGGTGTTGCATCGGTTTGTTTCTGAATACCAGGACTTGCTCCAAATAATATGTTAGTTTTAAAGGCTTGAACTCAAATACTGCTTTCCTTGCAGGCATTGGAAATCCACCTGGTACAATGGACGTGAAAGCTTACCTTCTTCAGAAATTCAGTTTGGAGGAGCGAAAGCAGGTAGAGGGGTATATCTAACTTTCTCGTAGATCAATTTCAACCGTACACATGTTTGTGGGAGCAAGGAGTGCCCTGAACGAGCGAATCAGAAACAAATGTAATGTATTATCATGCATCTTCTTTGGTCCTAACAAAGGCGAGGGAGGAGAACTAAATTGTGATGGCACCGAACTATGCATGGGAAGAGAACTAATAAAAGGGCGCTTTGAAAGCACTTCTTTAGCCTGTCTGTGTTGGTTTATTTTATGGAGTCTAGTTTGTATATGTGATCCGGATGATGACCCGACCCGAAATAATGTTGTGTGGTTTTTAATGGAAAATTTTCTGAGGCTTAGTCCATGGAGCGAAGGCTTGGGCCGATGAGGAAAATTTTTTTTTGGGCCCGTTATACAGCCCAGTGCGTAGGACATATAAACCCTGTTGTTTTGGTGATTAGGGTTAATTGTGGATGGTACAGCCGCTCTCTGTATTCAACTCTCTCAATAGTGAAATCCCTGCAGCTTCGTGGACGTAGGCAAATTGCCGAACCACGTAAAATCTGTGTCTTGTTCTTTCTTGTTTCTTATTGCTTTATATTCTTGATTTGTTCTTCGATTGTGTGTGTTTGTTAGTGGATTTAAATCGTGAGAAATCCCAACAGTCTGAAGTAAACCAAGCTTTCACGGACTCCTGAACTGGATATCCATGATTTGGCTAGGGACATCTTGACTCTTAACTCAGCAGCCCCCTAACCAAAACTTTTGACTAATATCTGTTACAACTTATAAAAATCGTTGTTTTAGTCTATGCATTTGTAAAAAAACCTATTTTGTCGTAGTAGTTACTAATAGATGTGATCTTTCTTTTCTTTTTTCTTATATGGTGGAGATTGTCCCACATAATGACAGATCAATGATCGTGGCCATATTGAACCCTGACCTTCACAAGTGGTTCAAAAACCCACATTGTGAAAAGCTATGTTAAGTTTTTAGTAGCACTTGGTGACCTTATCTTCTATGTCACATAGCTCTTTTCTCCTGGATGGCTGGTTTGACAGGACAGTGATAAACTGGATCTAGCTGCTCTATATATATCTACAGTTAAGTTCTAAAGCCGTTAGTTTTGAAAGAGAAGAATAGAAGAAAGAGAGAAGTTTGTCAGAATAGGGTAGTGTGTTAGATTACACAACTACACCCAGTTGATATATATAAAGACACAAAGTACCAAAATACTCTTATTCTAGAAATAACACATAACGTAACATCTACAAATCCTCATTGGTTGAGTACTTCAATTAGTATTTGTTGGACTGGACATTTCTGTGTTAAAATATTGTTTTCATCATTAACATGGTTGAATATAGACTTCAATGACAAACTCCATTAAGTAGAGTGAATCTGGCTCTTCTTTTTCCTCCCTTGATTCTTCAGGCTAGCCCCAGTACTAGGTTGTTCCAGGGGGGTGGAGGCCATAAGATTTGTATTTTGCGCATCTGATCTAAATTTGTCATTATTCTTGTTGTTTGGTCGTTTGTGTTTATCTGTTACCCCTCTCTGTCTCCAACACACGTGTGTGTTTTAAAGTCTGATGAGCATGCTTAGATTTCTAACTGTTATGACCTATCTAAGCAGATAGATGCGGCATTGGAACAGGGAGTTGAGGTTCTCAGGACCCTGGTACTCGCAGGTTTCGGTGGTAGAATCACTAGATTTAATCTGGGCCAGAAGTACAAGTACCACAAAGTTTGAGCAACCTCACCAAACAAAACCAAAGGTATGGTCGAAAGGCATCTATACCGTGTTTGAATCGATTTTGGATGTTCCTGCAATTTCCTTGTACAGTATTTTTGGGCCAACTGTTGAGGCTGATGTATCCTTAAAAGACTTTAGCCCTGTTTTTTAACAACCTTGGTGCCTCTTAACCTAACCTTCAGTTTTGGGTCTTTAAAATTTGTTACTAGAGTGTAAGAGAAGTGAGTTAGTGAGCTGTTTGTAATTGTACATTTGATGGTACTTCACCCTAAACTGATATTGAAAACTGAGAAATGCATGTTTATATTAGCAATGAGTTCAAATTTTGGAGCTTGGCACCGATGGATTGCAACTTTTTAGTATCTGAAGTCAAAACTTCCCCTCATGAGATGTTTCTGTGTCTTCTAATCTTTTTAGCCAACTCAAACACTAGCAGAAGATCGATGGGGGTGGGCTTTATATTCTAACTGATGCTTAACATTCAGGCTCAGGGTCAGCAAGCAAAATTTCATCTGAAGCGGGACGGCCTGAAGAGGGAAAGCTCAAGTTCAGCACTGAGCAATTTTTCTTTGACAATTTCAAGTTGTGTATCTCACTAAAAAGAGCAGTGTTATTGCTACACAGCATCCCATTTCCTGCCACCGGTGGTGGGTAGGAAATTGCAGATCTCAGTTTGTACAACTAACTTGGGATGATGCGACTGTATTTTATCATCTGTATTGTTGGTGATACGATTCTAATTGTGTGGCTCAAGTTTAGACATCGTGATTTCATGTATAATTTTCATCGCACAAGTTTGTAATTTGGTTATGCAAGCGACATCTTTTCAGATTTGATATTGAACAAAAATACGATGTGGTCCAATAAATAGGTAGATTCAGTACAACCGTTCGATTAGATGACATTATTTGCAGTTTTTTTTTTTGAACTTCATTATTTGTAGTTAAAAAAAGTAATGTTGCTTAATTAATTGAAGAAAATCTCATTTTTTCTCCTGGAAGATGTAGAAATTTTCAGTTTGTCTCCTAAATAATTAATTTTTTCACATTGTCTCAGAAATTAAAACGTTGCAATGTGGTCTAAAAATGTTTTTTATTGCAACATTTTTATTTTTTAGGGGAATAATGTATAAAAATTAATAATTTGGGAGGTAAATTGAGAATTTTGTACCTTTTAGGGAACAAAATGTGTAGCAGCTATGCCTCTGAGATGATAGAGTGATTCTGCTGTCAAGGGAAGAGGCAAATACAACCTGAAACTAATACAATACTCGTGTTTTCGCTGTTCGATGTGCAACCATAACCCTCGGAGGCTTGAATGATTCTGCTGGAGTTGAAGAGGCAAATACAGCCTGAAACTGGTACACACTACTTTCTGGCGACATAAGGCTCCGGACGGAGTCAGAAATTGTAAAGCGGGGGCAAAGTCTAATTAATAATAATACTAATGGCCTGCGTGGTTTGATTGAAAAGTAAAAGGATGAAAAATGCAATTTTTCACTGTTTGGTTTAAAAGGAAAGACGGAGGAAAAGAAAAAATAGATGAAAAAACAATCCCTCCCACTCCACCAAATTTGTTCTTTCCTAAAACGGGTGGAAAATGGCCAAAAGTGCATAAAAGGGCCTGACGGGGTCCACATTTTAGTAATGGCTAATTACCATTTAGTTTTTTGGAGCTCATGTCACAAGTTAATACATTATTCATATTCTTTTTGAATATTTTTAGGATTTCATTAGTAATGATGTTCTTTTAGTTTTTTCTCGTACCAAGTAAAATAATACTCCATCCGTTCCTAAATATCTATTGTTTTACACAATTTTTTTTGTTCCATAATATCCGTCGTTTAATGAAATCAAAACATAATTAATATTTTTTATTTCAAATTTATCCTTAACTTTTCAATGTATTAGATTAGGTGGAGGCTAAGTATCTTTTATATTTTTTTTCCTTCCCAATACGTATTGAATAAGGGTATTTTAGTTTTGTGTAATTATTTTTTACTCATATTAGAACTATTTAATAGCTTACTTAATCCCTGTGCAAAAACCTTAAACGACAGATATTTAGGAACAGAGAGAGTAATAAAATTATTCTTTTCACCTTTTTTTTATCCTTCTTACCAAATAAAAATGATGGAAAAACTCTTTCTTTCTTTCAGGGATGAAAAATTTATTCCTTCCATTTTTTCATCTCTTCACTTTTTCATCATTCTTACCAAATGGATCATAATTATTCGTAATTTGGGGACTTAATTTAAATGTCTAATGCATTAGCAAATATAGTACATTCAATGCTAAGATACACTTGTAATTCATTAATGACAATACATTGGATTCTTAAATTAAGTCCTAATAGAATTTCTCTTTTAACAATAGTAAAATTAAAAGGAATTGAACCATTTATATAACAAAATAGGAGTGTGTTTGAATTTTATACCAGATATATTTTCTCCCTCAAAATCATCACCAATCACTTACCTCACCCATCATCTCTTTGTTAGACTCAAATGTCAAACCGTATCACTTATTTCTATCATATGTTTATTTATTTATATTTTTTTCCCTAAGAACATCACATTACTCATTTTTATCATATATTTAATCATTTAATATTTGATTGATTTGTAATTAATATATTTTTAAAAAAATTAATATAATGAGATTGATTTTTTGAACACTCGAATTTTATATTTTATCGTGCCTTCAAGCACGGATTATGACCGGTTAATAAATAAAAAAGAGTTGGTTTGATGCATGGCTTCCCACGGCTACAATGTTTGAGGAGGTCAAATGTACACAAACTTGCCTTGCATGTGACAAATGATTTCACAACTTTAATCATTGCTGATTAGATTACAATGGTATAACTTTACTTTTATGCTCTATTTGGTAGGAAGTATGAAAAATAAGAAGGATGAAAAGTAGGAAGATACACTTTCGATCTTTTAAGAATGGAAAGTAAGAAGGATACATTTTTCTTCTTTTGTGTTTGGTTGGATGGATGAAAAATAAAAATGACTATTTTTTTTTTGTGCTGGCTAAGATTAGGGGAGACAATCGAGTCGAATCGTGTTGTGTCAGATTCGTGTTGAGTCATTACGGGTTTGTGTCGAATATTAATCAAACCTAATTTAACTCACTTAACTAATTGTGTTGTGTCGAGTTGCGAGTTGACCTGTTTATTTTCGTATCGAGTTTGAGTCGTGTAATCGTGTTGAGTCGAAAATTTTCACCCTTAATTAAAATAGAAAAAATATTTTTTTTAATTTTAATTTTTTATTTTTTTTAATTTGTAATTTTTATTAAATTTATTTTTAAATTTTTTTAAAATATACATTTTTTACCATTGTATTTTTATATGAAATTAATGTATACATAAGATATATAGACAAATAAGATATATCTCAACACGAATAATTAATTTTCCATCCACTTTCCTTTCGATTTTGGAGGGATTGATTTGGGTGAGTTGGAAGGAAAGTTAATCTATCCAATTTTTCATCTTTCCTACTTTCTTTTCTTACAAAACATGATGTTTTATATATCCTTTCAACTTTTCATCCTTCCGATTTTTCATTCTCTTACTTTTTCATCGTATCAAACAGAACATTATAATTATTTCCACCTAATTTTTACATTTAAAAATAGTACATCATAGTCTCATTAGTCAATATAATCAACTTAACAATGATGAGAGAGATAATACAAGATATAGGGAGAGCGAAATTAAAGATGAATAACAATCTCATTCAGCAAAATCTTGAATATATGACCCCATCAATTTCAGCACTAGCCTTAAATGCCTTCAATCTCTAAATCAGTCAATTTTTTGAGGAATGTTTAATTTCTCTTGGTGTTAGCTCATCTAAAATCAACCATCGAAATGTGTCAACCTTCCAATCTCCTCAATAACCTCAAGGATAAGCATTTCAACGTTCACTCAAAACGACAAACTTGGCCACACCTTACGTCCCTAGAAGAAGATGACATTTGTTTGACGAGAAATAAAGAGGAATATCAAAAATTCGAATGCCTCAAGCAGAAGAAAGAAAAAAAAAACAACGATTAGATCTAAAATAGGATTCCTTCTTTCTCTCATTCAAACTTGTGCAAGGAAGAGAATGACCCTTGAGATCAAGATTTAGAAGAAGAACATTTTTGTGAATAGAGAACATAATAATCAAATTATCTTGAAGGTTCTCCTAAAAGAGTGACCTCAGGGTCGCTAGCTTTATACAATTCTGTGAATTTTTGATAAGTTTTGGGACGGTGACGACTACGGGCATCATGCTCCTAAGTTTATAATGTCCAGCAAAGACGGGGTAATTTATGCAAGAGGTCAAAGCCACTAAGAAGGTCTTTTCCTGGAAGGGAAGGGCCGAGGACTCGGTGTTTGACGGTAAGGTTAAGGAAAAGACAAATCAGAATTGGTTTGTTAATTCTATTAATGACAGACCTTTCCCTATGCCCTCGAAAAATCTGATAGAAGGGTTTCTAGTTTGAACTAGGAAGAAGAGAAGGGTTGATGACAGAAACAACAACCCCAGTGTCAAAGAAATCAATGACAAAAACAGGTGGATAATAGTAGCTAAGAAGAATTTGAACACAAGCCAAAGGATAAGACTGATTCATCAAGATGGGCTCATCAAGGGGTTCGACCACAAAAAGATCTTCACCAGAAGAGATTTCACTATTAGAATAGGCAAGGGCCAAGATTGCTCCTAGAGAAGGATCATCATCAAGAGAAAAAATAGATTCAATGTCATAATCGTCAATGATAGGGTCTATGGAAAACAATTGATGAATAAACTTTTCTTTTTTTCTTCTGCCGGGGGCAAATTTTGGCAAAACAGAGGGAACTTCAATGACATGAACTACAACATGGGTACTTGGCGAACATTATGCTCCTAACTGTGTTGTGAGACATCTACAACATTACGTCACTGCAAGTCAGAAAAATTGGGTAGAGTTAGTGGATACTGTCCAATTTTGTTACAACTTGTACAAGTCTTCTGCTACAAGAATGAGGCATTGTGAATTGGCTATGGGACAATTGCCACTTATTCTTTATAAAGTGGTGAAATAGAGCACCGGAGGTAGATGTCCCACCCGGTTTGCTCGTTCCAAGCAAGAGCTTCTTGACGAAGCAAATGACAACTTAGCCATCACAAAGCAAAAATTCAACTGAAATTTAATCCCTGTGACATATAGAATGGTGTGTATCGGGAATTCCATAAATCTGTTCTCAAGATATAATGAATCTCTTCATACTTGTCTGCGTATTAGACTTACGAAGACAATACCCAAATACTATAAGAAAATTTAATAGCCAACTTCTAGAATTCTAACTCTGTAGAAATTAGAATACTAGATTGAATAGAAAAAAATAGATGTATGTAAATTTGAGAGAATGAAAGGAAGAAGAATGAGAGAACAATTCTAGTAGGAGGTCTATAATTGTTCAATGATATATACTTGGAGTGTAAGACATTACCTATTTGTAGACTTACCAAGTTAATCTGAT